TTGTTTATAACTTAATCTATTATATATCATATATCATTGTTAACATTATATTTGTTTCTGATAACGGTACAGGTGAATACAAATGGCGTCATATCGTTCTTAACGGAAGTAAGCCAGTATACGCCTGACCCCTTTCCGCTGGATGGTGATAGGCGATTGGTAGCTCCGTTTTGGGCTGACGTAGACACCACAGAAGGTGGAAAGGTCTACTATAGAGAAGTTCTACGTCAAGCCAATGAACAACTGACTGATCGAGCTACAGTCATAGTGAGAAATGCCTTCATAGATCAGGATGATTTCACTGCTACTTGGTTATTCATTGCTACCTGGTATAATGTGTCGTATTTCGGTTCTTATAACCCCTTTTGTGTAAGTTTTTTTTTTCTCCCTAATTGTTTGTGTTTTTGTTTTAGTAATACAGTAATTTTAAATGAACAAACGCCTCCAAACAAAAATTGAGGCCATGAGTTTTTTCGACCTTTATTTTTCACATTACTGAAGTCAAAGTTGAAATGTTTTAGAGTATTATTTGTTCCAACATTCAATGTAACAACGCAAGTTTCAGTAAGTGCAATACAAATTTGAGAAACGGCTGGCAGATATTATACATGTGGCCGATTTTTTTGTAAATACAGTAATCTTCTAATTATAGTCGCAGTTAATACACTTGTTTATATGCAATAATGTATGTCTAATATGGCTCATATATTTTACTTTTAAGAGAAACAATTTTCAGGCGATACTGGTGACAAATGGCCGTCATTCATTTACATTTTTTCATTATGGGGACATCAACTGGACAACTGGCACGGCAAGTGGTGGTTCTCCGATCACCGGCTTAGGTGGTACGCCAGCGCAGGTAATCAAAAACTCAATTGATGCGTTTTTCATGTACGTCTTAACCTGCAGTTCCGTTGACAGTAAATATTATCATAATCATAAAAGGCCTATTATCTTTTATTTATAGGTTTTGGTAATAATTCGGTTGTGGTATTTAGCTACTTAGATTCTATAAGCTTTTAAATATTGTTACAATGAATACATTTTTGATAAATTGCTGAAATGTTTTAGTTCGTTTTAGAGTTTGTTGCTACCTAGTCAAGTGAAAGTATTATAATCTAGAAGGTTTATTTTATTATGCCTCTTAAAATTTGTTTTACCCAAAATTAACTTAAATTATAGTTAAATAAAAACATAATATATAAGTAAAAACACAAAATAATAAAGTATTCTAATTACGAGCAGTTTCATCCGATCAGGTAGTTTGAGTAAAAACGGATATGAAAAACCTACAAAAAATCAATTAAATTCTTCAATAACTCATTTAAAGTATTAGGTAACCTAACTTCAAGTAACAGATAAAATAAATAATTTTCACTGATTTACAGACGTTTTACAACAAACATTTTGCAGCCAATTAAGGGTCTATGTCAAAGCATATAAAAAAATAACTGTCGGTTATTGATAGGGGGATTTTGTCAATTAATTTTTTTATTTTAAAATGATATAATAGAATTACATTATAATAAACTGTGTTACTGTTGATAGGTAGGTTTTAATGCTGGTGATGGACGAAACTTCTACTCAGTGCCTGGGTCAAGGAATGAGTCCATTGTAGATATAGAGACAACGACAAACGTTGGTGTAATTGGACGCTGGGTGTTCCGAATTGACGAAGAGAACGTTGTCGAAGACGGTTGCAAAGATGAAGGTATACAGATATTTAGATCATGTAGGCCTATTATAAATCAGTATGATAAGATTGACAATACAGCTCTAAATATTTGCTGTTGTGTAAATTATGCATCGCTTTCTTTATATTCTTATTTTAAAAAACTGTCATCAACATAATTATCATCATCGTCGTCCTCGTGTTGTAGTTATTTTATTTTATAAAATTAACTATTATCATCATTATAATTATTATCGTTATCATTGGTTTTACTCTTATGAGTATCTATTATAGCACTTATTTTATTTTTTAGTACTGCTATTGTTAAATTTATTTATCTTTTATATTATATATACATATAACTTTAGTGACTACTGGAACACTAACAGTTTTTCCATTTTCTGGCTCCATGCTTGGCGGAGATACTATCCTCATCCAAGGTCCGTGCTTTGACCTTCAACATAACATCACTTGTAAGTTTATTGACCCCGATACGGGCCCTGAAACTCAAGGTATGGTACTCAGCCAACTAAAAGCCGAGTGTGTGACGCCCATATTTTACCGGACTGGACGAATCAGGTTTTATGTGTCGAATGGACAAACATTTGGATTTGAGGGCGTTTTTACCATACGTAAGTGTGCTTGATTCATTTTTGTAAGTTATAATTGTTTTTTCATAGGGGAAATTGGGCCATGTAAATCAAAGTCATTTTTTTAACATGATGAACGGTATGCAGTATGTCTTTTTCTATAGAAGACTAACATGATTAACTATAGTTTACCGATTCGGGGAGCTCCCGAATTAACATCGGAAAAAACACACAAAGATTTTTTCTTGGAATATAATAATTGCACATTTTAAGCCTGAAATTAAAAACATGTTTATATAATAAATATAGTGGAAGACAATCTAGTTTGATGACGATTCATCTGTCCATGATGGTAGTTGTCACAAGTTCCCCAGAATTCCAAAATAGAGACAGGATCTCGGCAATATATTACGACACGGAATTAAACTCGGGTTAAACTTTATTAACCACAACACATCACATTAACAATAAGTCCATCTAACTATCGCAATTTACTTTTATTACTTTGTATCGCATAATTAATTAGTTGTGCACTTTACCTTTAATATACCGGACAACGATCTCCAATTATATAGTAATATCCATAATAATATCAATATAATGTTACCATTAACTTGTTATTCATAAACAATTCATGGCAATGATATTTAAATAATTGTGCTCATTATCAATAAACTACCCATTGATCTCCACTAATATATAATATATCAATGTATGCTAATCAAACAGTTCACAACAATAGCAATTACTAAACAATTATCCTTACTATTATATTACACATCTATCTCCAATAATATAAATATATATATATATATATATATATATATATATATATACATACATACATACATACATATATATAATGTTTAACGATTCACAACAATAATAACTACTAAGCTCATTATTATTGATCTACACATTGATCTCCAATAATATACAATTTATCAATGTATAGTTCAAGTATAATAATGCTATCACGACTTACAAGTAATAATCAATTGGTCAATCAGAAAGAGCAGTTGGTCTGTGCTTCTAATCTTCCTCCCGTTCTTCCGACCATCTAGGATCTACAATATAATACAATAATACATGACATAACAAAGAATCTACTATTCCATAATGTTTCGAAGCTATAAAGTTTTCATTTTACATAAGGACCTTCACACAAGCAAGGGTAAGTATAGTAATAATTAATGTACTTGCACATTTAATTATTAAGAACCAAAAACAAATGCATGAAAACTCACGGTCACGATCTTATGCCCGCTTCGTGTTGGTTTTGGGTCTGTCCTGTAATATCGTCACACCAATACGTGAAACCGAGCCATAGTACCCGATATACTATGCAACGCATGGAAATCTACAAGACAAGGCATTACCCAGCCAATCCAGCACACAGCCGTTCCACTCAACAAAACAAGGAAAAAAAAACTCTTTCACTACAACGCTTCACTCAAATACCGTCGAACACCTGAGCCTTGCTTTATTATTTAAATAACCACACATGATGCAAATATACGCTGAAAGTCATGTTTATTATAATACAAAAAAAAAAAAAAAAAACACGAACTTGTTACAGTAGTTATATATAATTCTTAAACTTTGAACACTAGAAGAGCTAACAACATACAACCAGATCAGATCAGATACGGTAATGAACAAGACCACAGCTGTGTTTGTACTTTAGCTAAGTAAACTTTTCAAAAATAACCGGTGTTCAAAGTTTAAAATAAGGATTACTTTACATTATTTATTTTTATAATAATCTTATGTTTTATGGTAAAGTTTGTATCTCTCTACAAATATTAAAATTTTAACAACATCCACTTGATATTTTGTAGTAAGGAATTATTTTCTGTTGTAAAAAACACGAAGCAACAATTTTGTTTAATAATACACTAATAACATTATTGATAATAATTTATCTATAAAACTTACCTTCTTTTTTAAGTGAACATAGAAGATGCTATAACTCCAGTGAACGTAAAAAATGAAATATTTTCACAATACGTTACTGTATCCTGGGACACATCATTAACACCGTACGATTTTGTAAATATTGAACTGTTCACCTATTCGGAAAATTGGGAAAATTTAGAGGTCACTTTGGATAGGTCGCTGATAAAAGAAAAAGTGGTTGGAGCATTAGGTGTGATCCAAGTCGAAGCTATGGATATACCTGTAGACGATGATGACCATATCGGAATTGTACGGGTTTCAAAGTGGAACAGCAAAGGCGATTTGTAAGTAAACTATTATCTTAATGAATCGTTCGTAATAATAACTACATTTACTATTACTACAATTATTCTCTTAATTGTTGATTCAAAATTCAAGATTCAAGACAGATGTCTTGTCACATATAAAAAGTATACAATAACTTTGCTTCCTGTGTTTATACAATAAAACAATATAACATACATATCACAACAATAAAAATATAAATATTAGTACTAAAACATAAATAACTCAACTAATTCGAAAGACAGTGGGATGGACTTAAAACATCTAAGGTACCTAATCGAAGGCAGTGATTATCTGGATTAGTGTAGTGCTGACAACGAAACCGCCGGAAAGTAGCTGTAGCTAGCCGTTGACAGTGGGTGACAGTAGCAGATTTGGGAATTTTAAATAGAAGGTCTCAGAGATTGATGTTAGGTACCACCTCAATCCCATTACTGTTAGGGCCAATGTACATATTTGAATGAATATGGTACCTCTAAGCCTTACCTTTCCGAACCACAGTTCATCTGTCTGTACATTTTGATATTTAATCTTATACGAATCGTATCTATTTGTCCATACATTTCAGGTCTCGCTGCTGAATGATTCGTTCATGCTTTTATTACTTCAAACATTGATTTCTGTAATCGTGTATGCTGTATGTATTAAATCAAAACATTGGATACCGAATAGAGAGGTTGTAGACCTACTGTAAATTTCTGTAATTCATTGGCAGACTTAGCTTACTAAGTAATTTATTTGAAAATATATTTTATAAAAGAATAACTTGACAGACTTAATAATGTAATATTTTATCACTGTACGTTTTTTTTTTAAATTTAATTTTCAGCTGTGACTTTAATAAACTTTAAATCGTACATTGTTCAATGCTATGCCAGCCAAACCCGGGAGTCTGCACAATCCACAATCATAAAATAATGAACCACGGAAATACTTCCAAATGTAGACTGTATTCTATATTTACAGTCTACATATATTTTATTATGGTTATGACTAGCATAATTGGTTAAATTAATGCAATCTTTTATGTTGATCACTAAGACAAATGAATGTTTCAGGGCAATCCCTTTAAAAAGGCAGGACAGGCATACACCGTCTTTGTGCACAGCAGCAGACAGCAGGCCACCTACTAACCGTACCCACGGATGTATTGTGAACATTTCTCTTAATATAATGTCCAAGGTTTACCATCGTTTTAACACACGAAACCGTGGCGATCTCCTGGCCCTGGTTGGTCTCAACGCTGCTCTACTTGTATTTCAGCTAGAGAGCTGAGTGTAAGTTACGAATAGAGCACCGTCTTTCGGGTTTGACATTTAAGCAGTTGGTCCTGCGCGCATTATGGCCCATGTGTACTTTAAAGAACGCACTACACTCTTCGGAAAAGAGTATGGGATTGTCCCCCGATGTACTGCCCAATCACCACCAGAAGGACACCACTGGAAATAAGCCTTCTTTATACTTTCGTGTGTTATCATTGGTGTTAAATCCAATCCAGTATCATTCATGCATTTCGATGTCGAAAGTGCTAACGCCTTCCGACGAAATATTGAAACATGTTAGTGATTTGGTAAACGAAATGTAGAAACAATCATGGTTACAAACAGATACACTCAGCAATACCAGTCACCGAGCTGCCATCTTAAAAGTGTATTAAATCGAGCGTTAGCTGTAACAACGCTAGTACCGCATACAGATCACGTAACTTATCAGACTTAGAAGGTGGAATAACACCCTCGTAAAGGCTTTAGAACCCAGCAGCCCATGTTTTCTGTCTTGCTAAACTTTGACGTATTCCACCTATTTTCACAGACCGTCACTGACGTTTAAATTTCGAAATTATTCTTCTCTATCATAAAATGTCTGTAATGGACAACCATCCATCTCACGACAATCGTTACGTTACACACGGGAGTTGCAATCATTCAGTTTACCTGCAGGGTCGCCGAGAGCGACCGCGGGCCCCGGGGAATCTTCGCTGCCCGGGTCTATTGGTTGGCGTCTTGCGGCCGCCTGGGGCAGATCCCTTGTCCCCCCACCTCATCTCGGAATCTACGGCCTTTTAACGGATTAGAGGACTAATTTTAACAGGTCATACAAAAATAAAGTACAGAGACAAGAAAAGTGAAATGCTTTCTTTTATTCAAACGTACCGAAAAGATGCATAACATAGGTATCAACTTTTACATTGGCGGGTACATGAATTTTAAATAGAAGGGCCCCAGAGAAGGACTTCCATAATGTCTATCTACCTCAGCCTCACCATGGTATCTGAGGTAAGAACATTTTATGGTTATTGCATCTCTGGATGGCCGGAAATGGCACTTTAGTCCTAACATTTAGTAGAATTTTCCTTTTTTTCCTTTTTTTTTTGAGGTGGGTGCCGAGCCTTCCTCCCCCTCCATCCATCCCCTCTTATATTCGACACTGGTTTAATATATTAATTCAGTGTTTATTTGGCAATCGATTTTCTATCTAGTCTTTTCATATTTTCTAACTTGTATGTATATTGACGATGTCTATGTTCAAGTCTTTTATAATAATTATTAAATAATAACATAATAATAACTCTCATCCACATAAACGTAGATCAACTACTGATACTTTTTGTGTTCTTTTAGTCCATATCTGTGCTAATTTTGTAATAATGTTCTTGTCTGTTTCTTTGTTACTAGTTTAACGTATAAAAAAAGAGACCGCGCTAGTAGTTGAAACTACCGTAGTTTGAGTTTCGTTGTGAGTTATGATCATTCATTCAATCAGTCACTCTGTATCTGTAGGTATTTGCCAGGTGTTTGGAGTGAAGTTATGGACTTGGGCTGGTTACATGCGGCTCAGAACATTTTCCACGACTTTCGAGGTGATGTCTGGTGTGCTGATTGGAAGATACTGGAGGACAGCCTAGGCAGCTTCTTAAGTGGCACACAAGATTGTCCATGCACCATCCAGCAGGCGTTAGCCGACACTGGTCGAATCACTTTACACTCAGCGTGTTATCTGCCAAACAATTACTATTACGGTTGTGAGGTATTTGATAACCATCAATGTGTTCAAGCAAATACACCAAGGTTTGAACTACATATTTTCATTCTTTTTACTATAGAACTTTTTATGTATCAACAAAGTAGAAAGCACGTAAATTCACTTGCTTCCAAAAGGTGGAGTCGAATTCGCTGTGTGGTATCTCCTTAGCAATTGCTATTTAGATTGTGCAACTTTTGAATACATTCCCGAGTGTGTTACCTCCAATTGGGCGATGTGTGAATTCCCTTTTAAAGCACCACAGAAACTTGGTGGTGGAACTAAAGGATTATTTAAACTAGTCTCACGTCCTTTAAAAATTACATTAAAATTGTATTTCTCATCGAAGATATTTTTCTCCCCAACATGGAGACCAATGGGGCAGCCTTGAATAGGCCTACATTTTTTTCAATATAAATACAATGGTAATTGATATTTTATGCAACCTGCACCGTTAGGTTATTATTGTTATAGTATTATTGTTATTATATAATTATTACTACTACTATTATATTATTATTACTACTATTACTACTATATCATTAATTTTATTATAATTACTGATTCTTATATGCATCTACTGGAGTTTAGATCTGAACGATAGTTCTAATTATAATTATTTGTTTGTTTTAATTTTTTTAATTTTTTATTTATTTATCTATTTATTTTTTGCCGTTTAAAATGTTTATTGGAAGTTTTCTTGTACATCGGTATTTTTTAAATGTTTTTTTTTTTAAATATATTCAGTGCATGTGTCAATTTTGTCAACAATGTTTGCACTGACAGTTATTACCATTATTATTGTTTACAGTGAGTCCGGTAGAGGGGTAGAGTGTTGTTACGGATCTGATGGTGAACTGCTCAACATACAAGATAAACTATATGCTGGGTTTTTTCATCGGCACCATTACAGAGCCATGACCCCACACGGAGTAGCTGGGCAAGTGCCTTACTTGTCCCATTTTGCAGCCGATATTCTACCATTCCGATATTGTTGTTATTATTCGAATCATGTCGAGGATTGCGAACATTTTAAAGAAAGGCGTCCCTCAGATGACTGCACCAGTTACGTGCCACCGCCAATTGGTAGGCCCAGCTCAAATATATTATAGGCCTATGCAAACTAATTGGTTTATAATATACATTTGGCTATAATTTTAAATAACACCGTTTGCTAATCTGAATGGAATAATATTTATATAAATGGATATGAAAAGTAGAAAACAATTAAGTGGTCTCTTAGCATAACCATAGATTGCCATTTTATTTATTTAGAATAAATTTAACAAATCAGGAATCCTCACCTTTAGACTATACCTATAGAGTACCACAGTCGTGTCGTTGCAACGCCAGGTAGCGCCCTCTGTTCCCAACCAGGCGTTGGTTACCGTTCATTACGTTTGAAAGACTTCATAGGCTGTCTGCAATAGGCATTTTGAAATCTAATATTTACCATCAAAATGTACTTAAAACACAAACTTTTTCGAACGCACATTAATCATCAATTAAAATTTACAAAGAAATACTAAGATACAACATCCTAATAATTACGTTAGAAATTGGGATCAATGGTTTGTCAGTGCAGAAAACGGTGTCCGGTTAAACACATTTTGCAACGATAGCAGACGTAACACTGTAGTACTCTATGGTGAGGATTTTAGTGATTTAATACTCGGACTCTCATCAGTTATAAGATGCTATATTTTATTTGTTATTTTGATGGTACTCTGCTACTCTTGTCTGGGGAATAACATAACCCAACAAATACATCTCGTTTTGTTTATTCTGTCACGACAAGTGTTTACATTTCTTTTAATTATTTGTATATTAAAATAAAATGAAATGACCATTCATCTATATCCAAAGTAAATTGGAAACTATTTTATATATTATTTAAAAGCATATCTAAAATGCTATAAATATACACGTCGCCACAAAACGCTGGCGTCATGTTTACCTTATTATGCTTATCTTATACATCTTCATATCATTGTTGTTTAAATTTGTGTTTATGGCTGATATTACCCCTTTTAAGGTGGTGGGAATGGTGATCCACATTTTCGCACACTAGACGGTACATCTTATACATTTAATGGGCACGGCGAATACACATTTATCGAAGCACTCGACAGACAGTTCGTCATGCAGTGCCGGACGGAACAAATCACAGGTAAACTTTTATCATCACGAGTTCATTTCAATAAGTGTACATTCCTAACAGACACATGGGGAACATGCTTATGTCAAGCTATAATCATCGGTTACTTTATTTAATCTTGTATTCACAGCAATTATATTTCCAACAGAATATTAATGATGATTGCACAATAACCAAAATATGATTTATGTTAGGATCTTCAATTCTAATATAGGAATAAATATTGATTGCAATTAATAATCTAGTATAATGTTTTGTGTAAGTGTATGTGGTTTCCACTAGACGAATGGTGCAACAT